TTATAGAGACACAACAGGATTCACAGTCATGGGAGCTTTAAAATGATGCTTTATCAGAAAATAAAGAAATGACAGTAAATGAGACGGAGTTGTGGAAGTACGACCAGGACGTTGTTTATTTGGTTTCTGTTTCCTGTCAGTCAGAAACGTTTATTATATTATATTATATGTTTCTGACCTTTTATACTGAAGTCTACAGGGTCTCTCACCCACGTAGCCACGGGTGTACCTGGATGTGTCTGTACATCTACAGCTGGCACACCCAGCGTAAAAAGTATGAGTGAGTTCCAATTAAAAAATATCTTAATATTATTTCTGACACTATTGAAATTAATTGGAAAAGTAATGGACTGAGGGAAGCACTAGAGCAGTACAAACATATTATTGTTATTGTTATTGTTATTGTCATTATCATTATTATTATTAGTAGTAGTAGTATTATATTATATTTATAATTAAATGTTGTTCTAAACTTTTCTTCTAGGTCCAAATCACACTGAATCTTCTCCACACTACTTTTAAATGTTATAGCCTACGTAAGGCACCCTGGGATGTTTTTGACCGCTAGTAGCACTATGGAGCAATGTTTTTTAAGAGTGGGTCCCCATGATACACTGTCCTCCTGATGGTTTCATGCTATTCCGATGAGAGACAGAGGCAGAGTGGCTTAATACCCCCTGAGCATCTTGTTTTTGCGGACCTCCAGAGGTTTCATTTCTCACTTTGTTGCAGCGATCCAAACACACCAGATGAGAAAAGGTCTTCACAGTAAAACATGTAATTTTAGCCTGGTGTGACGTTGCTCTCTGTGAAACTGCTGTGGGTTATCAATTTAAAGCACCTTTAATTTTACCTTGGCAGCTGCAATGTCGTACTGAGCGAGCCGCTGGCTCCAACCCACGGCCAGCAGCTGGTTGTCATGGAGACAGGTCAACCCGGTGACTTCAGAGTTGGTGACGGGCTCCAGTTTGTGCAAGTTTAGGCCGTTAAGTAAGTTCCACACCTGCTCGGGGGAAGGTCTTCTCATTAACAAACTCTTTTTAACTCATACATGTGGACTCAAAATGTGTTTTGCATTACATTTCACAGTATTTTTGTACATATTGAACCTTTATGGTGCCATTGCGAGCCCCAGTGATCAGTCTTCTGTGGGAGGAGTCTAGGGCCATGCAGGTGAGTTCTTCTTCTCCGTGTGCATTCAAGATCTGAAGCCGCCTCCTCCCCGACTCTACGTCCCACAGAGACACGGATGAGTCTGCGTGTCCAGTCACCACCTGTCTCAGAGCGGAGTTGTACAGAGCGCAGGAAAGGGCAGGGCCACTTCCAATATTTGGTCCAGGTTCCCTTCCTTCATCCGTCAACAATCCGCCCCCTCCTCTTCTTGTTTCAGCCAGACTGAGCAGCGCCAGGTAATCTTTGCATCCCACCACTAAATGAGACGGCTCAGAAAGAGGAGTGCTCACCAACAGGAAGGGGAAGTTGCCATGTTCTGGGATTCGACCCGGTTGCTGGCAGGGGAACTGCAGGCAGACGGTTTTCAGACAGTGATGGCTGGAAATGTCCCAAACCCTCAGCTCCTGACCCAGGAATAAACATCACTTTATTAACTAAAAAATTAACAAGCTCTTTTCCCAAATCCCAAATATGACTTTATATGATTAACAATAAGAAATGTCAGTTTACTTTAATTTATCCCCTTAATGACTCACAGCGTCTCTGGAGTAGCTGAAGATTTGCCCAACAGGTTGATAGATTGCAACATCCAACACAGTGGTGAGATGACCCAGCAGTGTAGCTACAGGACGTGTGGTCACAAATCGAGTCCACAGTCGGACTGCTCGGTCACAACCTCCTGTGACCATCAGCTGCAGAGATGCATTATAGTCAAAACATTTAGCTCCCTGAAATGAGAAAAAAAAACCCAAGGTATAAAATATACAGAATATGTTGCTTTGTGTAGAGAGATATGTACATGAACTGGTGTTTAATACATAAAGCATCCCCACTTATAATACCATGATTCAATTTAGCTGGTTGCATTAGTTTGGGAATTTAAAATGTCCAGACAGTTAATTGGAGTATAAAATGAGTGTGCTCATTCAAAAAAAGGCATTGTGAATAACAGGAAGTGTCACCACCTACTTTAATAAGGTTTTGTGCAACAGAATTACTTTGTTTCTCCACAGTCAGTGGAACTGTCTGCCTCTGCATGCTGGGCGGGAATCGACTTTAGAAATAGTAACTTGACTCACATTTGCTCTTCCAGATAAAACTGGCAAGGGATAATTCACTGAGTGACTTATGCAATATGACATTTGCCATATAAGGACATTAATCATTTTTCTACAAGTAACAGATTTTAATGGAGTGAAGGTTGATGTTCAAACCTTGACCCACCCAGTTAGGTCAGTGTCACTCAGACCAGATTACTGTGACCCACACATGGCCATCTGACCTCAAAAGGGGATAGCAACAAACATCATTACACTCACTTCTTGCTCTTTTACCTTTCCCTATCTCATACCACTGTTTATAGAGAAACAGATGTCTAGAAATTTACTTCTGATGTATACAAACATATAAATGAGATTGAATTATACAGTCTAACCCAAAAAATAAGGTATGACACACAATTATATTTACTAATGAGAACACATAACACATAATAACCTACTATTCAATGTCAGAACTACACTGTTAAATCAGTTACCTGCTTAAATTTCCAAACATAAGGCTCCTGCTTCAGTGTCACATTAATGAAGACCACAGAGGTGGTGTCACTTTCTGATGACGTCATGATTACGTTGGTGCCGGGGTCAAACATCACTCTGTTGATTGGTTCCTGGTGGATGTTGGGGATGTGACGGTAGGAGACCATGTTTCTGTGTTCACCCAGGTCCTGTTGTCACGATGGATAACAAGAAATGTTGTGTTGTTTGTAAACTATAACTAATCAGCAAGTGCTGTAAGACATTTCTAAGAAGAACCAGATATTGAGCTCAGTAATTAAAAAGACAAGGCCAGGCTTACTGGGAAAAAGATCCTCTGTGGCCCGTTCTCTTTCTTGGAATGATTCTTGAACAGACCTTTAGACGGGTTCAGGAACCACATGAGGTGGACTCCTCCTTTTTCATCCCCCAGTAGCAGCAGAGAGGGCTGCTCTGGACACTTGGAGGGAAAAACCAAAGAGATTAAAGTGATGGATTTATTGCTTTCAGGACGAATTTGTCCAGTTGAAAAGAAAAACTCAAAGGAAAAGTGACTTTACCTGAACGTCATACCAGTAACAAAGAGCAGTCGGGACACTACGAAACCCTTGGAGAGATGAGACAAAGAGTTAACATTTAAAACAGTAACTCATTTTTATTAGTGGCCAGCTCAGTTTAGTACAATTCAGTACAATCAAGTATACCAAACAGATGGACATCTTCAAATACACTGGCTGTGTAGACATTGACAAAGTGCAAGTCCCTGCAGTTGGTTGCTATGGCGACCTTGTGGACATTGCCCATATAGATGGCATCAGTGGTCCAGCCTCTGAATCTCCTCGTGTTGGCCACTTCCTCTGTTGGGTCTCCGGCAAGCTGGATTAAAGAGGATTAAATATAAAAAGTGAGAGAGTGTGAGTGTGTGTGTGTGTGTGTGTCTGTGTGTGAGTGTGAGTGTCGTACTTCCATGTGGATGTAAAAGCAGTACCATGATGTCACCCACCCCTAGACTTTTGAGGATGTGTAGGCTGCTGTTCCAGACAGTGATCTGACCCCCTTTACTGACACTAATATAGCGGAGTGGAGGAGGATGGGAAACAGCAACCACACGCACTGTAGGTTCTCGCTGCAGAGGAATCAGAAAGGTTACTGGAGTAATAAAAGTGTTACTATATAAAATATGCAGAAAGAGAGTATAGAAAAGAAAATTGACACAACAAGTTCAGAAAAATTGAATAATGCAGTTAGTAAACATGAATATGTGTTATATATATATATACTGTGATAAGCCATACAGCTACAATAAAAAGATATAAGCAGACTGCACTTTCCTTTCCAAAACCCAAACCACCACCAGCTTCCATTGAATGTTCACTTGAATTAATAAACACAACAATTATCATCATGGATGGGTTTGACCGAGACTGTAAGCCATAAAATAGAATAAAAGAAAATAGGAATGAGCTAAAAGCTCCTTCAAAGCGGTGTAGAGCTGCGGTGATAATACATTAAAAGTAGCCTAGTCATTTAATTAAACTTGGGTTGGTTGGGGGTTAGGTAGGTTTAGTGTGGTTAGTTTGCTTTATTACATTTATTTGTCAGGGACCAAGTACAAGAAAACATCGGAAACATTAATTTCATACAAATAGAAGAAGCTTTGTGATTTAGCTTGCTACTATCCATCTGCAGTCCCTCCGCAGGTAGACAGAAAGTGAGTGCAATCTGTCTCTACTCAAAATATATTAGACTCTATACTTGTCTTTTAAGAAAACGTGACCTATACTTTTGGTGCCCCTGTCTGGCCTTTCAGTATAATTGTTTAAACATCAGAGTATCCTGCCAAGATGCACCATTCTTTCTCATTTGACCAGATTAGACTTGTGGATCTGTACCTTGTTGTGAGAGCAGTGTTTGATCTGCGGTTGGGAGTCCAGCAGAGCTGCTCTGGGGATGGAGGCTCTCTCTCTCTCTGTGTACTCCAGAAGCAGGTAGGAACACAGCTGCTGCCACTTCACCACCCCGGTGCAACTGATATCTACCTGAGTATGAAACGGTTAAAAGATAAAGCCGTACTAAAACAAATTTAATGGCACAGTGAGCTTATGCTGATGGAATGTATAATGGCATGTAATTTATGTGCTTTCCATTTTTTTTTTTTTTTTTACATCTCTTTATGTCTTCTTACCTCACTGAAGAATCTCTCAACCCATATGTCCTCAATATCTGGACCAATCACAGACCTCAGAACCTCCCGAAACTCGTCAAACTTTATTCCACGCTCTTCATTTCCTCCTCTGTTCCTTCCACTTCTTCTATCCGACCTGTTTTCGTGCATCTGTATTTCAGCTTTTGGACAGGTAAATGCATTTCTCAGGAGCTGCAGGTGCTCAGGGCTCAGTTTCTCTGCAGGACTGACTCCACAGGCCGGATCACTGCAGAGGGAAGCGCACAGCAATGATCATTTAAAGAAAAAACCTTAATTTGTGCAGAAATGTTTTTATAAGTGAACACCATTTAAACACAAGGCAGAGAAGATCTCTACTGGTAAGACTGCCAGGAGGAGCCGACTTTTTAGAATTTGGTGCTACTACTGAAATGTTTTGTGAATTACTCTTATAGGAGTCATATGATTATGATTACAATTCCCATTATTCTTCAGAGTTTCTCTTAAGTTGCTAGCTACTCTTCGGGTGGATTGTGTGTGTGCAGTGGTACAGCTGGATCAAAACATGTAGAACATAAACATTAAAGATAAAATAAAGACACTGTGCCTGGGTAGGACTGAAGCCAAAAACTGATCACAGACGATCTGATGTCTTAGTATCACTTATTTTAGCTTTTGTTAGTGAGTTCTGACTGTTTACTAATGTTATCCAGCCACTGACATCTGGCAAGAAAGCAGAATGAATGTAGTGCTCCCAAGTGGCAGCACTCAGAAAACACACTGCTGATAAAAAGGAAATGTTTTAAATCACATAATGAAGTCTTATATGATTCATACTAATCTGAAACGTACAATAGTTTTTAAGAATATATTTGAATGGTGGGTCTTAATGTGTGTACTTGGTTAATTGCTGCAGATAGGGAATAAAATGGGGAGAATAGGTTTAAAGTTTTAGGGGACGTGTTTAAAAGATCAAAGTGTTCCAGCAGCAGCTCCTGTGTGGCCCTGTTGCTCAGGGAGACTACAAGCTGCAACAATAAGTCACATGTCTCAGCATTGTGAGCTCTTTTTCAGGTCCACCAGGACATGCATGAGTGGTCCTTTACATCATTTTACACAATCAACCAACGCTAATGGAACCGTAAAATAATTAAGTAATAAAAGTCCATTAGTTGGTTGAAAAAGGAGTGTAAAAGGCTGTTTTATCTGAAAGAGTAGCTGAAGCTGTGTGGGAAGGATGGTCGTGGTCGCTCAGTGCCAGAGTTGAGAAAATATGTGAATCTGTACCAGAAGGAAGCAAACGTACAACTTCACAGCAGACTCGATGGATGGATTAGGATTGCGTAACTCTTTCACTCACTTGAGTTGATAGAATGTAAAAAGCCATGGATGGCGAAGATAATGGTAAACTTCATACTTTGTGCATGAATTTATTTATTTATGAATTATGCAATCTACTACTATCTACTATACAGAAATTGTATGATGAATATCATGGAGAAATATTATGAGGTACAACTTACATGTCAGATGCAAAACTGATAAACAGCTCATACACAGTTAATTAACAGTGATGGTCAGTTCTATTTATCGAGATTAGATAAATAAAAAGAAGAAAACTCACCAAAATCTGCTGTGTGGCACTTCCATCTCATACAGCACCCATGGATTTTTGTGGTTTCTTAATATATCCATATCTATAATCTCGACAAACTCCTCTTTAAAGTCTTCCAAACTACAGATCCTGCTCCATCTTTTCTAGATTTTGTCCAGATAGTTCAGTGTTCTTTAGATCCATATCCTGATGACCAACAAAAATGCAGCAACCACAAGTTCCCCTCAAAACTGCTGAAGCTAATCTGATGTCTTCACTGTGCTCTGAGTCACACGCAGGGGCTTTGTTTCTATCCTTTCCTCTGTCTTTTCAGGCAAACCTGATTGGCTCAAACAAAGCCTCTCCAAACAGGGAAGGAATGCCCAGGTCCATAGATTAATAAGCCATCCGTCACAAGTGTTTGACCACTCCGAGAGGGGGAAAGTCAACACGTCACTGGTTCGAAGACCGTGGAGAGATGAGAGTTTCTAAAATAGCTGCAAGTCCGCCGAGGGTAACAAGGCCAGAAGCCCCACAGACCAGCCCTCAGTGGATGAATCATTCAAAGAGGCAAAGTTAGTCAGGACCCAGGAGAGTTAAGATTGGTGACTTTCACACAATACACTTCAGCTATAACATAATAAGGACGACGCAGAAGTCCTATTAATGTAATTTATACAGTAGTATATGTCCTGTGCAAATATATTCTAAGCCACAAAGAGAAGAAACTATTTTCTTTTTTATTCTTATGACTTACAGTCCTCTAACTAATGCAGATTAATTATTGCCAGGCAACCCACTGCACTTTTCCTACCACTTCAATGAGCATGAGCTGTCCAGAGTGTGCTCCCACTTAATGTTTAACGAAGGTACCCAGGTCCCTGTGGTGCTGGGTCTGCTGGGTAATTCCTAGCACCTGGTCTAATATGAGACCTACTATACACAAGACCTGGCTCAACTATCTACAAAAAAATTATGATATGATATATTTTAGCCATAGTTTGTCTTGTTATAGGAATGCACAGGTGGAACTTTCCCTGCTACAACAGGTCAACATTTCTGCTGCAAAAAGGTTTACTCTGCTGCAGAAGCTGTCAGTACACAATACTGTGTAATACTCCTCAAATAGTTCAAAACAACAGTTAAATCATTCAAGGATACAAGGTATTTTCAATGTCATATTACAACACAGGGTTGTATAATGAATTTGTAGTTCCCTTTATGGTACTCATAAAACAGTAAATTTGACCAATAAGTCATTAAAAAAAACATCAAGTTGTACAACCATAAGCACAATAATGACTTGCCACAACTAATATGTTCATTCTCTCATATTATTACGTTATTTCAGTCAAACAGGCTTCTTCTTGTGCCATGTAATCCTTTTTGTTGCAACAGCAGCAGCAGAGCTGCTGGCTTGAAGCACACCAACAGTGGTGGAAGAAGTATGCAAATATTTTATTTAAAATAAACTGTACAAATTCTCAGTAATGAATAAAAGTGCTGCATTCAAAGTTTTATTTAAAGTACCAAAAGTTAAATTAAATGAAAAGTAAAATTATGCAGAATAACCCATTTTGAATAATGTATAGTATATCATGTGATTATAATTATAGCATTAATGTGTCCATTGCTTTTATGCGTGCACGTAACTGTGATGTTGTAGCTGGTAAAGGTGGAGCTGGTTTTATTTACTATATATATACTGGGTAGCCGGTGAATTTACCCCCTGAGATCAGTAAATTAGTATTTAGTGTCATTAAACTGAAATGTAGTGGATTAAAAAGTACAATATTTGCATCTGAAATGTTGGTGAAGTAAAATTATAAAGGTAGCAGAAAATGGAAATACTCCTAAAGTAAAGTAAGTCAAGTTTTTTTTTATTTAAGTCCAGTACTTGAGCACTAGATGGAGCCACAGCAGCGCTGTCTGATTCAAGCATGCGCAGTTAAACTAAAGAGTGGTTCACAGACATCTGACGAAATTTACGCTCACTAAACAAAATCAGCCACAGTTTGTTTTTTACTGAACTTAAAGCATAAAGTTATTATTATTATTACCAGTCAGCACTGAGAGTTCAGAACTTCTCCACGCAGCCTCTCACACGATTGCGGGAGCAGCTCCATAATAATTATACTCCCGTGACCCGCCCTAACCCCCCCCACCCCCCCCTCTCTGTAGGCTCTCGTTAGAAATATACTTCCTC